GCCAGTATAATTCAATATGCAACACCGGCCTGGGTTTGGCAGAAGAGTCAAGCAACGGTGCGCCACCGCCCAGCGGCCCACGCATGCACAATATACACCAGTTCACAAAGAATTCATAAATGCAAATTCATATTTTTTGCCCATGTTGATTTCCCTTGACCTCGTTTGCACGGTACGAAATCAAACTTGATTCAGCTAGCTTCATCTACCTTCACGATTCAATGAAACGTGACGACTGAACTTTTGTACAGCAAGGTGGTAAACAAATTTTCGTCGCCGACACCACGAAGAAACACCCATCTACATACCAGTAAAAACTAGCAATCGGAGAAAACGGCAACTAAAGTTGAACCCTTCTAAAACAACACTTTGCGTCAAAACGACAGAGTATTTTCAGCTGGGTTTCTCGTTGTGGACAATTGATGAATTGAATTGATTAAATCTACTGTTTTTCACCCGTTTGTGTATTAAATAAACAAGAAATAAGAGAAAAAAGATGAGTGTTAGTTCGTGAAACCGAAAAGGCTGCGAAACTGTAAATTTTCGTTTTCACGAAGTAACACTCTTCAATGTATTCAACACGAGGAAAGTGCAACTTCAGGTCAGCGCGCGCGCGCTCATACAACTTATTACAAGAAGAGAGTTACTTCGTGAAAACGTTTTTGCTCACTTATTAGCAGAGTGCGCGCCATGCATTGCAATGGTAAATCGAACTTGAGTGTTACTTCGTGAAAATGAAAATTGTCTTTTTTGCGCAAAAGTTGCCATGGATACTTAGCATAATTATTAAAGTAAAGCTCTTGAAGCTTTGAAACTTCGTGCAATGGTAGACCTTGATAAATAATGTTTAAAAATCCAAAAAACTGAAAATCGAAAAAAATATGGTTTAACACGGTAGAGTGTTACTTCGTGGTGTAATGGGAAGATGTATCATTACAGAAACTTCTGACATGTTAATTAATAAAACAATGAAATGCAGTTCAAAGTATTATAATATGTTGACATATTCCTAGCCTTTTGTCACACCAAGTTGGCAAACTTCTAAACTTCAAACTGCAGTCATCATGACAAACTATTCATTATACTACATGTATCACAATAATTATAAATATATAATTTAGTGCTTCTATTGTCGTATTTTATTTTAGGATACAGTTTAAACCAATTTGTAGCTCAAATACCAACACATCTATACAGATTTAACGAATATTGCTCAAGTATTTCCACTTTTAAAGCAGTTTGTGAAAAACCACAGTTATTTGTAAACCTGCAATCTAGAATCCAACAAATGTCGGGCCCGAACCCCACGCCGTAATCTTTTGGACCTACTTTTTGGGAGACAAATTTCTTTGCCTCCCCCCCCCAAAAAAAAATTGTGCTCTGGATCCACCATTGAAACAGAACGCGCCATGGATTACCCACATCACTCGAAAGCATTCAATATTTGCATATAATGTGACGCGCTCTCGGTCAATCAAGAGTCGACGTCATTCCATGTCAAGCTTCATCCCCGGCTGAAAAAAGTCACTCAGTAATGAAGTCGGTTTGACGATCAGTCGGTCGGTCGGTTGGTGGTCAGTCGATAAATTTCCTGTATCCCAGCAGGATAACCAAGTAACCAAATTCCTCAAAATTGCAAGATTAGGGAATAGTTCACGTACTGGAAATTGCATGATAAGTACGAATTTTAGATCGAACCTTCACATCCAGCGCATCTGTAGCTTGACATGATAATATACGTACATATGTATAGAGACTTGCTTCCACATTTCTCCCTTGACACAGACGTATCCAACACAATACTATGTTCCAGTGGTTATATAGTTCATGATCAAGTTAGCTCTTTTCTTTCTGAATGTTTCAGCTTCTTAAAGTTTTAACTATTCCTAACCCTGCAGATCTTGTATCAATTTAAACAAACATTCGAATAAACTATTTCTTCAGTAATTCCTGCCAAAAACTATAGCCCCCCCCCACGCCCCCCGTGGCTACGCCACTGCTCCTTATAGTACACCACCAGAATGCTACTAACCTGTGTCTCCTTACTGCTATCCAATGTTGTCCCATGTCTCTGTGAATCATTTTCTGGTTGCCCGAAGTTTGCTCGGCTTTTTGGAATCCGAGTTCATCAAGCCAAGCCAACGTTTGTAAATGTAAGCATCCATGCACTATCCCGTTCAATGATCATATTACACGGGCTGCCTCGATGCTTTCAGTCATTTTGAGTTTGTACGCACTTCTATGATGTCATTGCCTTGTGCACAAACAGTAGCAGTTACCACGGACCAATCAGCTCCGTGATGGCCTTTCATGGCCACACCTCCCCGGTCGTGGTTTACGACTGCGGTTTTTGTAGTCAGGCAAGTATAATGACTGGCAAGGTCACGGAGGCGGCGGGGTTGCCGAACCGCCAGTGGGAACGAAAAGAGACTGAGGGGGAGGATCAAATGGGGCCCCCTCCCGACTTTAAAAAGATCGGGGATACCCCCCCCCCCCTCTCCCCCACCGATCGACGTCCATGGCGCCAGTGGAGTTACGCCACGATGGATGCAATGAACCTTGGCCATGACAATGATGGCAAAGTTGTTCATGCTTGCCAGGAGTAAATCTGTTGTCGGCATTTTTTTCTTTCGATTTTTCAACGAGGGCAATTGTTAATACCTTTCCCGAAATAGCTATTTTTAAAAAAAGTTTCATTGACGTATATATTGCCAGCATTCTATCAACCTTAACAAACAGCAAGGTTCATCCTGTGGTTACGCACACCCCCAGCCTAATAGGAATGGGACCGAAACCAGTCATGCTTTACGCCAATTCCTGTGTATTTTCGTTTTAATCAAAAACATTATTCATGCACACCAATTTTTAGCCCGATCCGACCTACCATGTGGTCAGGGCAGAAACCACAAAAAATTGACATTTTTAGAGTAAAATACCACCCTTTTGGCAGAAATATGTCAAAACCATGTCAATTTGTATTGAATATTTGCGAATTTGGTATTAAAATAATAAGAATTGCATGCTCAGATTAACTCTTTTGTCAAAATGAAGTTTTGTGAAAAGTAGGTCACGTGACCTTTAATATTTTATTGTGACCTTTGACCCAATTTATGTACTAATGTATCATTCCGAAAATCAACGAAATGAAAATGACTTGATAGAACATGTCTTCCTCTATCAGAATCCACTGAAACTCAATTGGGGTCTTCAAAATGTACAACTTTATGACTATTTTTGTATAGTTGGTAGGTTACAAATCAGTCAATTTATAGACTTTACATTAGAAATCCACCAACACAACTTACTATTCTGTTTCTAAATCCACCAACACAACTTACTATTCTGTTTCTAAAGCTACTTGAAGTAATCTTGGTTTGGGAATTTCCCATGATTAGGGCTGAAGAGGTCTAACCAGACTCAGAATATAAATTATCAGCAGTGGCGCACCCAGGATTTTGCTTTTGGGGGGGGGGGGGGGGGGGCCGGCTCATAGTTTTTTTTGTCGTCAAATTTCTGTAGAAGATTGAACAAACAAAAATTACCCCAAAATCAAACAAACAAATTGACAACCTTGGAGGTGGGTGGGTTCAAGCCCCTCGAGCCCACCCCCCGTGCCACTGATAATGGACCGATCCAGTAAGCCCCTCCCACTGCGCACGTGGGCAATGGACCTTTCCCATGAAATCATAATGCAAAAAAGATGAGCCCATGCGCATTACTACCTCTGGTTGGCAGAGCCGCAGCCGTGAATACTATTAAGTAGTGGTGGAGTACTGCTTCAACCAAAACCTGACGGTCTGAAGGTCCATCAAAACTGTAATCAGGTCCTTCTCCGAGATTTCAGCATCTTTTTCACGAAACCAAATTGACTTGCTAGTCTGCTAGTACGGTGCGGCGTACGTGTTTGCCTTTGTTGCGCGCACGTCGGCAGTTATATTGTGACGTCATTAATTTACATATTTTTGACAACCAAAGGTATTAATGCGCATGTGCTTGCTTAATTTGCATATTTCATGGGAAGATACGTCACAATTCAAATCCCCGCGCGCGCAACAATGGACTGATCCAGTAAGCTCCGCCCAGAGCGCACGTGGGCAAATTAACACGTGCTCCTCTCCAATGCCACACTGCATTTTCCTGCCGCGCGCATTCATACGCGCGTGCACGCACGTCGGACTTTAGTGCACGCACGTCGGACATAAATCACGGCTGTGATTGGTCAGAACACCATGAGCGGTGCTTACTGGATCGGTCCATTAGCGCAGCCACGCGCGCACGCAGTAGCGGCCCGTCACCTGTATAGTTTGACATGAGTACCGAATTAAAAGATAAAACTCCCACAAAATTTTCACTTTCCAAGTTCAGCAGAATACAAAATCATTTGGTTTTCGTGAAGAAGATGCTGAAATCTCGGAGGGCCTGGTTACAGTTTTGATTGTTCTTCAGACCGTCACCCCCCTCCTAGGTTGTCAATATGTTTGTTTAATTTTTTGGTTATTTTGTTCTATCTTCTACAGAAATTTGCAAACAACAACTTATGAGCCCCCCCCCCCCCCGAGAAAAATCCTGAGTGCGCCACTAGCACTGCTGATAATTTATTTTCTGGTTAGACCTCATCAGCCCTGATCATGGGAAATTCCCAAACCAAGATTACTTCAAGTAGCTTTAGAAACAGAATAGTAAGTTGTGTTGGTGGATTTCTAATTTGAAGTCTATAAATTGAGTGAGGGAGGTTCCGAGTAAATCACTCAAGGGGGTTAGGGTTAATAAACTCCGTGTAGTTCACACCGATCAAATTCCAACATCAATTGATAAAACCCAACCATAATCACGGTAATTTGAATTTCGCTTTTTTTTTTTATTCACATGCGATATAAGCCGTCAAAAACACAAACTTCTGGACTGCTGTTCCAAATAATGATGAAAACGAAAATTTGGGTTACACATGTACATTTCTGAAATGGTTACACTTCTAACAATGATTGAAACACATAATTGCCTTAATTAATCTGAATAAGAAACAAACACCAAATAACCCTGGAAATTGAAAAAAATAACTGCCCTAACATTGTTTTGGGGTCATCATCATGTTGTGCCCTGCCCAGACGTGTCTGGATTTGACGTATATCCAATAGATTTATACACAACATTATACCCATAAAGATGACTTCGTTTCAAAAAAAAAAAAAAAACTGATACATAATGTTCATGTATCCATGACAGTTCCATCTTCCGTGACTGCATCTTGGGTTTCTTCATCTTCCTCCTCCTCCTCCTCATCGCTAGATGTCTGGTCAGCATCATCGCACTGCTCCAGACACTTGACACAAGAACAATGGAACAAGTAGTTCTCCCTGCCAACGAATCGTCCGTGAAGAAAACAAAACAAGTGAGGATCAGAAATTATAAGCACAAGCCTTTGGAATTGAATCACAAAAGTCTTTCAGGCAGATATTTGCTTTTCCAGACAATCTACACACTGTTTATCAAACTTATTTTTTTCTCAAATGAAAAATTCTTTCTTATCTGCCAGCCTCCGAAAAAATAGTTTTAATTCTGGATGAATTTGTGCACAAACAGGTCTGCCCTGCAAGTAGAATTATCAACTCTTCATAAGAGGCAGGGACTAGTCTACCCAGCAAGAGCCGAATCATTGTCCGACCATAGATACATTTTTCAAGCAATCATTCAATAACTAAATGTGGACAGATCTTTCTGTTTCATGTCTCATATAAAAGTGAACAATTTTGTATTGCTAGAAAATGGCAATTCATAAAAGAAACTTTTTAGAGGGTGAGACTTCAATTTAGCAATGTCAGCAAAATGCTCAAACTATATAATAAATCCTTGTTTATGGATGAAACTGTGTTAAATTACCGGAGTATTTTCTGCCTGGAATGATGACTTCTTTCGCGGCTGCACTCATCCAAGTAGCATATACAGATTTCCTGCAACAAAAGATTTTTAAATTGCCTTCATCAGTTGGAATTAAAACAATGTAAACCTAAACAGGTACTAACTTGTCTCGTGGCCACTGGCTTGGGCCGACATATGGGCTGACCGTATGCAAAGAGTTTCACATGACTTTTAGTACAAGGCAGTGTTGTAAGACTCGAGTCTAGGACTCGGACTCGAGTCACATTTTTCGTGACTCGGACTCGACTCGAGTCACATTGGAAATCGCACACCGGATGCACACTATAGTCAATAGTGCAATATTCTCTTAAAAGACAGAATGGATGATTGAAAAATAATTTTTAAAAAATTGATTAGTTTGGTGAACAACTAAGAACAAATGACTCGTGACTCGGACTGGAGGCTTGTGACTTGGGACTCGGACTCGAGGCTTGTGTTTCGAGACTCGGACTTGGACTCGAGGCTTGTGACTCGGGACTCAGACTCGACATTGGTGACTCGACTACAACACTGGTACAAGGGAGGGATATCTTCTAATTGGATTTCTGATCAGATAGTGGACTTTATCTTGGTAAGGCCACCGTGTGCAGGCTGATTTCTCCAATCTTTTCATAAGCTCAATATGGGTTTTGCCTTTCAATGATGTATCATATAAACACTGTAGACTCTGTGTTGTTCCGAGTGATTGTGAAAAAAAACCCACCTGGGTGGGACTCGAACCCACACCCTTCTGCTTACTAGTGCAGACGTCTTACCACTCGACCCCTGAGACTGCCGTGGTCAGCTTTCCGGTTTTAATCGGGAAGCCGACCTGGAAAGCTCGGTGGTCGAGTGGTGAAACGTCTGCACTAATAAGTGGGAGGTCGTGGGTTCGAGTCCCACCCAAGTGATTTTTCTCTCTCACAGTCACTCGACACACCAGCATGCATTTGCACACAAATACTGCGCCATGCAACAAGGATGATCCTAACTGTTGAATAGTAAATCACGTTCACCATGGGCGAGTGGGACTTTTTGAGCCCCGGCGTGATTGGGAGCAATAATGAATGCCACGTGATCTGAGTTCCACCAATCAAATGACAAGGATCTGTATGTCAGTTATATAACATACACCGGCTCATGTCATTGGGGCAACACAACCCTTTCTTTCGTCACTACTTGGATCCATATTGGACATCAATTAAAGCTACAGTCCATCATTTGTAATTTGTGCATTTTGTTCGTTTGAAGCAACAAAAGAGTTCAAAATCTAATGAAGGATACTGAGCAACTAACCTGATGAAGTTTCAGCTAAGCTTCAGCTGTACATTCCGAGAAAAACAACATTCTAAGATCTCAATTTCAAATCAAAAGTTGCTGAATCATGTTTTGATTTGTTTTGAATTGCAACTATATATACGCGACATCGCGCACTGATCCGACGAAATATAACAACCGCGCGCGCGTGTGCGTCGTTCGAATACTTGTGCGCGCTTCGCTGAATAACAAAACGAACTACTAATTTAAATTTTCCTACGGTGCTTCTTAAGAATCACCGTTGGAAATGCCTTCTTTCGTTGATTACTTCAAAATGACAGCTTCCCAGAAAGAATAATTTCACAGGGAGTTTAGTCCCCTTACTATCTTTCAACCAAGTTAGTTTTTCAACAATAATTACGCCAGTTACTTTTCGGATGGCTGCAAATGATGGACTCTACCTTTAAGGCACAAATGAATTTTTGCTAGTGTAGTGAACATACATATTAAACGGCGATCATCTTTGATGGACTCACCTCCCCTTCTGTGATATCTCGAAGGGCTACAGCAGTTAATGTTGAGTTGTTGTCATTAAACTGAATCTCTGCATTTGGTTGGCAACTATGATTACCTGGAGAAACAAATAAATCCTCAAAGATTAGAACGTTTCCCAACTGGAGTTAGAAAAACCCCAACTTATCTACAACTCTATTACATGCATGTTTTTGCATTTGGTGCTGTTGGTCTCCTAATAAGACACTATACCTTTTAACGTTTGCAATAGCAAAACTCGGGAAGTACAGAGTGAGTAAAATAAGGGAAACCAAAATGTCAGGACCATATTTTTAATGAAGTTATGCATGTAGCACTTTCAAAATCTAGGATATGAAAGCCCAATTAATAAGCTTTCTTTAATAGTACAAGAATCATTCAAATCACTCATGTACTTTTCAAGTTACAGAATTATAATCACAAACACCGTTGTAAACTTCTGTCCATGGATCACCAAAAAAGGTAAGTGTTCTTTCAGCAAAAATTCCGTAACTTGAAAAGTACATGGGTAATTTGAATGATTCTTGTACTAAAGAAAGCTTATTAATTGGGCTTTCATATCCTAGATTTCAAAAGTGCTACATACAGAACTTCATTAAATAATTGGTCCTGCCATTTGGTTTTTTTTTGTCTAACTCCTACACCTAAGGACGTACACCTAACAAAATTGTGGTTCTAGTGTACATGCATCAACTTGGCTTTGGGTAACAGACATGCTCAGTGTCAATATTCAACAAATGTTCATTCTTCAAGAAGCAGAATGTCAACTTACAGCAACTTTGTAACTGGTATAACGCTGAGCCTTCACAGTTGAGAAATGTGCCTGATTCTGAAGAATAATAATAAAAAAAACAGGGTTCATTTTTGTTCAGCACACAAGCTGCCAGGGCATATATGATATAACACACCTGTAGTAGTCATTATGAGATAGTGAAGCTGTAAAAGATAATTAGTTTGATACTATACATATATTGAGTGGCTCAGAGTGGAATGGGAGGAATATTATCGCAAGGTAAAATCTGGATTTCGCCGAGTGAAATGGAAAAGTCCAGATTTTACTGAGCGATAACATTCCTCCCATTTCACAATTTAAAACCACTCAATATTTGTTTTGTATAACTGATATAAATCCTTGTCATTTGATTTACAGTTTAAATGAACTTCTATTTCAATACAAAATTGGTGGGAAATGCATTTCTCTCTTCCAAACCACCCCTTCACGAAATGTTCGAACCTCTGTAGAGCTGTAGAGCTTTAAACTCTGTAGAATTAATATGCGCTACGCGTACTGTGCACACCAGCATGCAGTTGCAAACGAATATCGCGCCATGGAACAAGGATGATCCTAACTGTTGAACAGTAAATCACATTCACCATGGGCGAATGGGACTTTTTGAGCCCCGGCGTGAATGGGAGCAATAATGAATGTCGCGTGATGTGAGTTCCACCAATCAAATGACAAGGATCTGTATGTCAGTTTTTGGATAAATACTATCAAATATGTTGATCAAAAAGCTTGACATTTTGCTCTCAAGTGGTGACACATTAACTAAAACTTTCAATTTTGTGAATGTCCACTTCCTTTTTTTTTGGTAATTGGTCACAATATTTGCAACCAAATGAAAGGTCAATGGGCCTTATTCACGAGTCAGCCATGTTGAATGGAAAGTGAGGTAAAATCTTCATTTTTGGAACTTGTGCAGAGAAATGAAAGTTAGAACATTACTAAATAATTCAAGTCCGCTTAAATGAATAATTTAAACTTTGTAATTAAACATTCCCTAATGTTTTAGGCCAGATAAAAAAAAAAAAATGAAAGTACAATAAGGCTGCATAAATAGTCTGGCGCCATTCCATTCAACAGTTAACAGTTAAGAAATACGTTCAGGGAACACGACAAAATGGCTACCTCGTGAATAAGGTCAATTAGCTGAACTTTAAGTGGATAAAATGTACATCTTGAATTTCTGTCTGATGCTTGCTTGAAAGAAACAAAGTCATGTTGAAGAGTTATCCGTGGAGTTTAGTATGTAGCTTGTTTACCTCGTTCGATATCAACGTAAAGTTGGTCTATGAAAGAATCCAGTGCCTGCCTTTCATCACCCGGCAAATCTAGGGCATCGCAGTTATGGACGTACACACTCAGGGAACTGAACAACAAACAAAGGAGGAAGTTGTAAAAATGCACTGACTTTTTTATCAAGGAATTACTATTGGAAACATTAACACATGTTTGGAGAACAGCAACAAACAGGCACGCAACTGGGAATTTACAACAAATGAGGAACCTCCAAACCACACAAGACTTTGTAAGTATTTTTTAATTTGTAATGGCGTTCATGGGAAGTAAACAAAATGAGGAAATCAGCGGATCATAAGAAAGGACTTATTTTGACGCTAGAAGGCACTGTTTTTGCTTAACAATTTTACACATTTCATAAAGTTGTACAATTAAGGGAAGTCAAAAATAATCATCTCAAAAAGTTACTTTATAAACACACTTCCTTTGCAAACGGCAAATTTCGGGTTTTTGGTGGGGGGAGGGTGAGCAAATGGGCACGTGCCCCCCCCCCCCCTCGACCACCCCCCCCCCCCCCCCCCCCCCCTGGCTACGTCACTGCTCTGGCTAGTATAATTTTATTTGAAATTTACTCTTTACCTTGTTCCAACCCCTTGGCCGTTCATACCAATGAGAGCAATAAGTGACCGCAGGCCCTCTGGTGTAAACCACTGCAAGGGACATGAAATATACTCCAGTTACTACATGAACTATATTAGAAAAATACATTCTTTTCTTGGTGCCTTTTAGAACTGAAAGAAGCTAAACCAACAGTGATCAGCATTGTTGTGATAGGCAAATGGTATCGTCTTTGTACTTCTACACTGTACATCTTTCCACAAAAACAGTGGAAATCTGTTTGTGGAGATCGATCTGGTTAATAGGTTGGGTTCAAGTATGTTTTGTCATAGATAATACAATGAAACTGAAGATGAAAATTCATTGTGCAGTTGTCATTTGAATTACGAAGGAAGAAAGTTATTGACCTGCATATAGCTATTAGCACCACGGTTCAAATTGAGTCATTCATAAGACAAGTCGCAAGCTATTACAATGAACTATGACAAAGATATTAAACTGTTCATCTCCTTAAAGCTTCAGTCCATCATTTGTAATTTGTGCATTTTGTTCGTTTGAAGCAACAAAAGAGTTCAAAATTTAATGAAGGATACTGAGCAACTAACCTGATGAAGTTTCAGCTAAGCTTCAGCTGTACATTCCGAGAAAAACAGCATTCTAAGATCTCAATTTCAAATCAAAAGTTACTGAATCATGTTTTGAATTGTTTTGAATTGCAGCTATACGCGACGTCGCGCACTGATCCGACGAATTATAACAACTGCACGCGCGTGTGCGTCGTTCCAATACTTGTGCGCGCTGCGCTGAATAACAAAACGAACTACTAATTTAAATTTTCCTACGGTGCTTCTTAAGAATCACCGTTGGAAATGCCTTCTTTTGTTGATTATTTCAAAATGACAGCTTCCCAGAAAGAATAGTTTCACAGGGAGTTTAGTTCCCTTACTATCTTTCAACCAAGTTTGTTTTTCAACAGTAATTACGCCAGTTACTTTTCGGATGGCTGCAAATGATGGACTCTAGCTTTAACACGTGTGACATGTGAACTGATTTGTGACTTTGGATTGACTTGAGATTGACTTGATGGCAGTGAATTCTTTTTCATGTTCATGAGCCAATGTAGAGGTTTGGGTGTATTCAATGTCACAAGTCACGAATCATGTGGAACAGTCATAAATATTTCCTTGGTCGTGATAAAATTAATGTAGTAACTGTCTGCCACATACCGTGTACATACCTGACTTATGCAGTCTTCGTACAGTGCTCCAGCTAACATACCCTGAAGTGTATCTATTTGTTCCTGTGTATTGAAAAATAACACTTCTGAAAATCGGTCATTCATTTTCGTCTGAATTTGAGAATCGCTCTGGACACGCGTTTTGATTCCATTTCAGTTCAATCAATTAAGTGATTGAGCAGCACCTTTCGTTTATGTCCATTCAGATTCGTTTACAAAATTTCTTTTCACTGTTAGAGGGCGATTTCAAATATTCACCATTCTATTTCACTTTTAATTTAATGTCAACGGCAACAGATACAATGAGGGGTTTCTTTTTCATTAACCGTCAATCAAATTAGCTGTACCTGAAATCAATTTAGAAAAGGAATGCTTGTGTAAATGAATGCACAGTTAACGTAATTGGCCATCTGTTTTTCAAAACCGAATGCACAGACAATGAAAACGATTGAACTGTCGTTGTATTGAAATGCATTCAAATTCAGATGCAAACTAATGACCGATTTTCAGAAGTCAATGAACATTTCAGGAAATTGGCCCGGAAAGCCCATATTTATATCAGGCTTCCAAGTAGCAAAAATAAATCAATGTATTGTTTTGGATATTATATAGTCATCCTGCTCAATCAAGAGTGTGGAAACTCACAGCTGTTACCAGTGAACAGAGCGTAGCACACGGTACGGTCACATGCGCTACGCAGGGTATACGCACTGTTTGACAACATTAAATATGGCAGCTTCGAGCGGTACGATATTCTCTTCAGTGTAAGCTTGAATAATTCCATGAAATTTGAGAACTAAAGACAACTGTACACAGGAAAAACTTTCAAAATTAACAATATTCGACTTGGGCAATATTATTATAGCTCGTGCACTATATTCTTGTTCCCCCCTGAAAGCCATCCAATATTGAATCCAATATGTGAACATTCTTGACCAACCTGAAATTGACTGCCAAGCAGCTTGTGAGCTAACTCTTGTTCCTCGTTGTTAGCTTTCTGACAAAACTGGTTGAATGCAGACAACACATGCTCTTTCTTCTGTGCCTACAAAAGTAAAGATAAAAAACTAAAAAAAACATGATTTCAAAAAAACGGGAAATGTTTACAAAACAAAAAAATCAGTGCTTATAGTTAAACAAAGTCCAACTAAATTGACTTTTTTTTTGATGAATGGCAACATGAATAAGCCAGTTCAAGTAATCGATGAATTGTCATCGATTACTTCAAATATATGTATTACCATCCGTTTTTTGCAACTCCTTTTAATATTTTTATACTGTCATCACTTCTCTCCAAATGTATTTTCTTTCATGTGATTCGTTTTTATTATTTTTATTTCTGTAACAAAATTTTTGCTATCTTGTTTTTTCTTAGATAGTGTATATTTTTCTTACTTTTTTGTTCTGTTTTCTTTTTTTCAGTTTTGTTCTGTTCTGCTTGGTTTGGATTTTTGTTTTTTGTTTTGTTTTGTTCTGTCTTGCTCTGTTTGTTTTTGTTAGCTGTTCCCAATTTCAATTGGGAACAGCTCTTGTTTTCGTTAAAGTTTTTTTTTTTCCTTTTTTTTTAGCTGTTCCCAATTTCAATTGGGAACAGCTCTTGTTTTCGTTAAAGTTTTTTTTTTTCCTTTTTTTTTTTTTCTTCTTTTTCTTTTTCCACTTTTCCCCATAGGTTTTGTACACGTTTTTATAGTACAAGCCACTTTGGCAATTATTTTAAATCCGATCAACTTTAAACTCAGCATAGTTATTAACCATCATCTGAGGATGTGTGCCGAAACTTTTCGTCATGCTGACGTCATCACGTGATTTATTATAGAATTTTGAATATTTAATTTTTCCCATTGACTTTGTACACAATTTTTTTTTAAAAATGTCGATTTTCAGAGGGCATTTTCAACTCTTTGCCAGTAATTCATTTACACCAATCTTTGTCCAAGCAAAGACCCTAAATCAAACAACATTGTGTAATGATGACGTTATGATGACGTCATCCGGTGTTTATTTATAGGCAATTAAATTGTGACACTTTTAAAATTTAAAAATGCATAAGAAATCAACCATACGCGTCCGCAGCATTCTGTTGCCGGCAAGTGGTAGAGTAGGTTGAGGTCTTTATTTCATTCAGTGTGCGTGATATCACGTGACCCTTGTTTCCGGTCGAAAAAGGCCAAAACCGGAAGTGGCTTATTATTTAAAAGTGGTAATAGATATGAACTTGCTTTCAACGGTGTTAGTCTCTTGGCTGACAGTATTCTTCAAATCATCTACTGATGACGTCATGCAATCTTCGAGCGCCCTCTAGCGACAGGTTGAAAATTTTCAAAAATGCATTTTGAATAGATGTCTGTGGCGAAGTTTGTCGGAATCGCCTAAATATTGGTGTATATGATGACCTTGACCCACTTAAGACGTGTGCGAAGTTTTAGGTGTATGACGTCATCAGACCGGAAGTTATAATGAAAAGACCCTTTTTCCTTAGAAAATTCCTGAAAAATCAACCATGGCAATTTTTATATTAGTTTTTACTTTAATTGTCTATTTAAGGGTAGGTCTAAAACATTTCAAAGCTTCGAGGCAATAAGCAAACTCGGACATGCCCTGCGCACGCTTAAAACTTCAGGTTGACAATACCTCTGCTTTAAAACATGCGCAGGACGTCCACAATGTACATGTACATGCACGTACATCGTACGTTGTACATATCGTATGTCGGTCAGCCCGCGCGCAGTGCACGTGTTGCTGAGGTCAAATCCTGTCCACAGTGACCGTTTTAGCCGATTTCCGGCTAACTTTGACAGATTTTATGTTCATGCATAGTGATAGTCAGGGACGTTGATAAAAACAAATCATAATGCGGAAAGCCCTATCTTCTGTTGCAAACAGACATAGATCTCTACTTATATGTCTATTGGTCCAACAGATAATCAATATTGGGAACAGCTCTGTGGTTGTTCACAACCACAATTTCTAGTTTTACTTTGTTTTCCTTGTCTTGTCTTGTTTTTGTTTTGTTTAGTTACGTTTGTTGTTTTGTTTTACTCTCTTTTTTTCTCTTCTTTTTGTTATTTTGTTTTGTTTGTTTTGTTGTTGTCTTGTGTTTGTCTCAAGTATATGTGCATTGTGTCTTCTGTTTTTTTTTTATCCATTACTTTTTTAGCATTTTATATATCTATATATGCATATCCAATGAAATCGTCTCCTATCACAATTCACAGTGCTCGTTTCATCCCTATATACATATAATTTGTTTTTAGTTTGTTTTTATAACATCAATATATATTTTTTATAATGATTCTTTCTGAACATATTTGTGTATATATATATATATATATATATTTTTTTTTTTAATAATTGTATAATATTTTTAAACCAGTCTTGTAATTGGCGGTTTTTTCTGCTGTTGGATGTGGATAATAAATAATAATAATAGTTCGGTATTTCAACTGCGCATGTGCACAATAATATAGGTCATTGGTCATTCGGGATAATTGAAAGTTTCGAAGGCGCATGAATGCGGGCGCAAGATGCTTGCGTGTCAATTACAAGCAGAATGGGCGTGCGCGTAACATGTCATAACACCACGTCAGCGATGTTATCCCAAATGACCTCGGGTCATTGAAATACTGAACTGGCTTATTGGGAAACTCTGATTTCCGTAAAATACTGAATATACCAAAAATGTAGGCACATGTCCGTCTTCAAACTTTTCACTGCATTATGTTTGTACCTACCAACCTGCTTCACAGTGGCAATCATTTTGTTGATGATAGTGATGCTGGCTGTCTCTGGAGGATAATGCATGTTTCTAAGGAAAAAATATTGACAAGTGATTAGAGATACATTATACATGTAAACAGGATGGTGCAAAATGAAGGAAACCCACTTTTTGCAGGAATTTTAGCCTACTTACTTAAAGGGAAGATACAACATTTGCAAACATCAAAAAAACGAAATGATCAAATTATCACGAAAAGTCTTACTGGATTGTTAGGAAATGACAGTCTAAAGCATCCAGTAAAGTTGTGGCTCTTGGTGTGCTGACATTTTCAAGAAAAACTGTATTTAAGTGCTACTACTTATTTTCGTCTGCATTTTCTTTGCAATTGATTACACACCTGTGAAGACTACAAGCCTGCTAGACTGATTCTCTTGTCTTACATTTCCCCAAAGTCTATAAATTGCTCCATTTCATCTTAAGTGGGTTCAGGGAACCACACTACAAGAATATGATTGGTTTTCTTGGTTTTTCCAGCATCTACGAAACCAAAACGTGAAACAAGTCAGTGTAACAATATTTGCTATAACATACCAATCCTTCCAAATCCATTTATTTCTGAAAATTGCAGCAAAAGCAAATGTTGTACATTCCCTTTAACTTATTTGAACTGTTGTTTTTTTATAATGTAGTGAAGTATAGCTCTTCAACCATGCGTGGTGAATAGTGTTATTATGCTAAATTTGAATAAAAGTCACTGTTGTCTACGTGTAAGTCCAGTGTAGTGCTTTTTTGTCTTCAAATCAAGCTCTGGAGCTCAGTCAAGCGGATGGAATAAAGCCGTCCACGGACAAACAGGTTTGGCACATGACATTTTTTTTTAACTTCCATATCTCAGAGACAAAATATGCATTTGAAATCATTTTTTTGTCACTTGTGTTTAAAGATCAATATTTTAATACCATTCAATTGAAGTTTTGAAATATGCTCAACAAGTAGGTGAAAAAGGCTGTCAAAAGTGGGTTCCCTTCTTTTTGCACCACCCTGTATACGGATGATGCAATTGTATCAGTTTTTCAATGAATCATTATCAATTTACTTTTGACTGACTTGTGATTTACTTGTGACACTGCGGGCCTAAGTTCTTGGCTCTGCTTACCGTTAGCAAAAAATCTCTGCTTATTGTAGCAGAAAATTCCGTGCTTACAGTAAGCATATTTCACAGGTTAGCAAGGAATTTTGGCTTATGCGCATGCGCACATCCCGTAACTAAGAATTCCATGCTTACTGTGCCAGCGCAGAATTTTTTTTTCTGCTAGCGTTAAACATACATGTAGCATGGTGATCGTAAGCGTGAAATTGTGTGGTTAGGCTGAGGCTAGCAGAGCCATAAAATTGGGCACAGACTTGTAATGGACTTGTCGTTGGACTTGCAACGCAGATGAAACACAGACACGACAGAAAGCTTACTTCCAGGTTTCTTGTAAGACGACCAAGGGATGTTCTGGATCAGGGGGTGACTGGCCCACGCACAAGACCTGATGGTACTGAGCTACAGCTTGATCCCTACACTCTGTACTGCAATAGGGAACCTGTATGTAGTGCATCAAAATAACATGAATCAGCTTTTCAGCTGAGGAAAGCAGCTCTACAAGTACTCATGTCGCTCCTTTAGTCCGTAGGTTCATTAGTAACAAACGTTGGGATGCGCACCTGTGCACTATAACTCACCTTAGCCAGCTCCTGCTTGAGGCCCTGTGTCGGTTTTATGGCCCTCAGGGGAGGGCAGACAGACTTGCATTATCCTGGGGTGCGTTTTGGCGGTCATAACCAAGAATTGGTTCGGTTGTTACTTGTCGGCGAATTTCTTCGGGAATTTTAAATGGATGAGAATTACTCACGACAATGCAATACTCAAACCCCCAAAACAATTAACCAAAGAGAAACAACAGAACCAGTTTTTGGTTATGACCGCCAAAACGCACCCCAGGTCAAATTTGCATTGTGACATTCAACACATGGGAAATCGTTAATTTCAATGCCAGAGACGTGTACATGTACGTGCAAGAGCGCCATCTATCTCATACAGACTTGGCAGAACACGAAAGCATCAGACAGACCAATCACAGGGCACTTTTGGTTGGTCACCTGGATTGGTGACCAATCAAAGTGCCCTGTGATTGGTCAGGTGACAAATCAAAGTGCCCTGTGATTGGTCTGTCTGATGCTTGCCAGGAAACAGTCTAGCCAGCCATGCACCAGTCTACTTTTCCTGAATTCAAAATGGCAGCCTCAAACAAGGCATGTGCGACAAGAATGTTTCCTGAATTGAAGGTGAAATTTCTCTTTTCTTCCAAAAGGTATGTAACCCTAACCACCACCATTTGTATTTCCAATTCCCACTGAAGCATACAGGTTCGCATAAGGCAGTTTGAAGACTGTTTTGGGGGTGAAATCTGAAGATTTTGATTGGGGGTAAGAGTGAAAATGGTCAAAAAAAGTTATTAGCAACGCAATAAGGCTATGTACCTAGGACTCTACTATCGCCCGACCATGTCCAATTGTTCAAAAAGGCGATTCGTAGAGTCCTAGTTACTCGGACTAGGGCTTACCCTGTTTAATCTGAACAATGTACCTGACACTGGGGGCATGCGGTGTGCTTCTCGCTCTGAAGTGTGCAGCATTCAGGATGTGGCAGTACAAGGGAGGGATTGGCACTCAGCCTCCGTGCCATGTCTTGAGCCGTCTCCATTGACCGCATGCAGAACTCGCAGGCCGTGTAACGGTAAAACTCGTTCCAGAGGAATTGGGCACAGACCAGAGGATTCTCAGTGAACAGTGTGTCGTTGGACTTAAAGTCCCTGTTTGCAAACACACCTTTTCCCTGTGGAAAAATCACAACTTAAGTTAGGTCTCCCATGAGATGTCAGTGTACATGAAGTTTAGAACCCCATATGTTTCTGTAATTCTGTTATCGCCTTAAAGGCTGGCAATGTTAAGAAGTAACAATACATGTCATGAAAAGGCAGCTTGATTTTGATTTACCTGGAAAATTATGGGGTAAAATGATGATATACATACAAGTACACAGTAACAATGTTAGTGCGGAACCAGACAAAGATTCGTCATGGTAAAAATTTCTTAGTATGAAAAAAAACCCTCACTGCGCATGTTCAGTGTCGTGCCAGTACAATACTGAAAACAATCAGGGACCGGTTTAACGATAAAATATCCACCGCCTAAATAAAATGGGGAAAGTGTGTTAACTTAAGGACCCCTCTATCTCTATTAAGTTTAATTTATTTTAACACTAAAAAATGTACTACTTCAACCTCAAGCAGTCTTCCTTTAGGTCTCAACAGTTGTTTGACACTTGACAGAGAATATGACTTTTTCTTACCCATTTTTGTCTGTTTTATGCTGGGCAAATAGTTTTCCTAAAATTCACCTACATAATTTTTTTTAAACAATTCACCTACACGCGCACGTAGCCCTATATAGTATCATCATCTCCACTCTGATGTTGTAATTTGTCATTTATGCCCTACAAGTTACATGTAGGGCCTAAATGACAAAATCAGACCTACATTTGGAAAGATTTCCATATACGAAGTTCACTCAACACCCTGTGTACAAACCCTATGAGATTGGACTGAAAAATTAAGTGTTTTCTAAGAAAATGCTTGTATTCTCTCACTGCTCAAATTGACTTTGATGACATGAAATTGCTATCTGGGGGCTTGTTAGTCAATACAGAGGAAAATTAGTGAACTTCGTATATGGAAATCTTTCCCTACATTTTTCCTAGTATTACATTTTTGGACTTTATTAACAATAGAGGAAAATTCTTATTTTTTGGGGCATACAAAATAATAAAGTTTCAAAAACATTGGTCATGCTGGGACTCAGAGTATAAATCATTTGTAAATCGAGCAGCTTTACTTGGAGGCGGGCATGCTTGCATGCATATACATGTACAAGTGCATAAAGGCACTATGATCTGCCGGCTTAGAGACTAACTTAGACATGTTATTGTTAGAACGGAACGGAGACCCGTTCACGGCTATAGGCTAAACATGCCAAATAAACACTTACTTAGAATTATAAAACAAGGTTAAACCCATGACTAGACAAATCAGTATGAAATTTCAAAATTGAGGTAGTCTATCATCATTAAAAAAAAAAAAATATTATACTATAGCTCCATGAGCAATCAAATCAATCATTAGCATACACAACCGGTAGAGCTGGCTGTCCGAAAACTGGACCAGACAGTTAAGTTTAGAAAAAGCAGTTCACTTCTTCATTCTTCACAATAAGGAGCTTTTAAAATATCTCCCCCAGTTTTTCTTCATATTTATGTCACACGTACCCTCAGATTATCGATAAATCTGACGCAGATTCCCTCATTTTTGGTACAATCGGCCGCATCACGGGCATTTAAGCACATTCCCATGGAGGCTGCCATGTTGCTTTTGAACCCTTTAAGCTGGTAATTTTTTTTCACTCATCCGCGTAGCTCTGACCTCATTATCATGTTTCTTTCGCAAGCATGAATACCAACGAGTGATAAAGGTGAGTAAGCTAAAGGGTGGTAGCTGACCCACTTTGATATCCAGGTGCCACGCGTGCAAAACGATGTCCACGTTGTTTATGCATGCATTGCATCATCGACCAGCCGTCAGATCGGGTCGCACTAAAAAGCGTCAACACAGCGTCAACACATGACAGAAGCGTCAACACACCGTCAACACATCCAAAACATATCCAAAACACATTCTGAATTGACAAAAAAGGTATATAATTGTAAAGCATAGAATAAAAGAGAATTTCCATTGGATTGAGTTTCCATTTTGTTGTTAAAAATATAGTATTTTCACGCGAAAAAATGACCTTTAACTTGCTCGGCCGTTGTCCGCCATCTTGACTTCGCACAAAGCTTGGACTACACCATTTTAAGTAGGGGTGTGTAGGTAATGACATTATCTTATCATAAACAACAGTGCATTCTGATCTGTGAGAGACTGAGGGACTGCGGTTTATTGTACAACGCTATCATCCTTTAGCATAATGGAATGGTCTGCACTGCCACTGAGGCAGCGATCTCAGAGCGGCACGGAGAGCCAATTTTCTTGAACTGAAAATCGCAATTTTCAGACGTTTAACCTATTGATTTTAAGCCAAAATCTTGTTTCTGTCCACACTCTATGGGTTACATACTGCTTGTGTCAATTTTAATGCATTTTGGATGTGTTGACGCTGTGTTGACGCTGTGTTGACGCTTTGGAGTGTGTTGACGCTGTGTTGACGCTTTTTAGTATGACCGGTCAGATCTGGCGCGCCGACCGGGCCGTGCATGCTGTGGGCAAAAACTGTTGTCATTAATTGTCTGTGAACAGGTTGAGGCCGTACTGTACGGATTGGTTCGGTGAGGTTGATGTGCATTGTGATGATGTTTTTGGTAAGTAGTTCTGTTTTATCGTTTTTTTAGTAGGCCTACTAATATGGAAGTTAATTCTGTGAAACATGATTTTACAAAAGTCAGACCACAAGTTCTATCAATCAGTATCATGTAAGTTGTAACATGTCAGCTGGAGTTACACAAGCTACACCCACCCCTGCATGCTGCATCATGACTAGCTGTTGCTCTAGTCCGAGTAACTAGGACTCTACGGATCGCTTTTTTAACATTTGGACATGGTCGGGCGATAGCAGAATGTTAAAAAAGCAATCCGTAGAGTCCTTACTCGGACTACTGTTGCTCTATGGATAAACCATGGAGGTCTAATTCTACCGCCATGGATAAACACAGATCTTTAGCTTTTTCTGGAGATAAATCATGTTAGAACTTTATATTGCAAGTTATTAGTTTTTTAGTACATTTGTATTGTGTTAAACATATACTTTTAGACCCCTCCATTTTTAACATTTCTTACACTAGGGCCTACACATTTGGGGAAAAATAACAAAAGGAATAATGAGAAATGCCTTTCCAACATTTTCTTGATACAACTCTAATTTATTTCAACATAATCGGTTAACTGGTCTGTCAACATCAACTTGATTTAAAGTTAAACAAAGTTGTAACTTGTAGTGCTGGGTGTACATGACCAAGTAATAGTAGTATACATTGCTTAAATACTACAGTCTTTTCCCCAAATTGATACCAAGTTTATAGTATATGGTATTCATTTCTCCCATTTTCTCTCCAGATGTTAGATTCCTGCAGTTGATGCGACTAATTACAATGGATCTACAATTAAAACTGTTCTAAAACATAAGTCACATGTGACAGTTTTGAGTGTTTATGGTCTAACGAACATGCTCATTCAAATAGATTCTCGAATTCACCGCACACATTTGGATTTAAGTACCGTTTATTTGTTGCAACGTTAGTTGTGAACAGCGGTGAAGCGATCTCACACAGTGAACAATTTATTCAGCAGTCATGGCAGGCATTGGCCGACTCTTTCAAGTCAGTGGCGCTTCCCGCCAAAAACTCTGTCAGAAATTTGGCACGCGGTGGAAAAGTTCCCAAAGCGCAGCATACACTTTGACAAATGGCAGAACAGCATGCCCGAACAGCATGCCCGACTGTGCTACAAAGCACAGTCGGGCACTCTGGAATGCTCAAACTAATAACAATTTAAGCCAAGAGGCGGCCAGGATTGTTGGGGCGAGGGGCATATCCACCTCCAAGAACCAGAAGATCAGAACAGCCTACCGGTCGGATCTCAAGAACTGCCGGCGCATCGTGCTCAAGTTGGGCAGTGCGGTGATAACACGCGACGACGAGTGCGGCCTGGCGCTAGGAAGGCTGGCTTCCATTATTGAACAGGTACAGTTTGTACAGTAGGCTAAAGAAATTAACCCTAACGGGCCCTGAATCCTTCAAAATCCTCTTTGCCAAAGTGGAGGAATTTGGCGGATTGAGGTTACATGTACATGGCAAAAGTGCATTACTGATTTCGTAGGATGCGCATTGTCAAGGTCTTGGGCCGGACCTTGTGTTGTTTTTTGCTCAGCCGTGCATAAATATAGGCCTGGATTATGCTTGAAATCCTCCGTACTGTTCCAGGATATCACTAACCAATTCTCAACATATTGACAGTCACTGCCGCAGGATTTTGCAGGATTCAGGCAGTGGACGGATCAGTTGCTTGTCTGTTTTTATTATTTTCACCCAAATTTTAACTATGATGTACAGTCCTAAGTATTTCTACATGAATCAAACAAACAAACAAACAAACAAACAAACAAAACAACTGAGCGTGTGCCCAGGATTCAGTGTCACTTAAATTGTATCCCTCAATGTCAGCACATTTTCAAGGTTATGGGGGAAAGGGTCCACATTGAAATATAAACCCTAACCCTAACCTTCCCAAATCCATCAAAATCCATTCTCCCATTTTGGGGATTTTGGTCAGCAAGCCATGAGCACCAAGTCAATCAAAAAAGTAGTGGTGGTCTTGTGTTGGATTTCAGCGGATTTGCTCCCAAAGCATTATGTGAAGCAGGGTCAGTGATGGATTTGGCGGACTTGGTCCAGTGCTTGGTAAAAGACACTTGGGAGTACTATCTCCTGAAATTGTGGGGGATTTTTTTTTTTAAATATTCAACTGTGAGGTGTCTGCAAAGTTGACAAAGGCCTCCTGCCTACTTCAATCAGTACTCAATTTTCAATTTCCCCCCCCCTCCCCTTTGTTAAAATTATTTTTTTCTTTTTCAAATTGATTTTGATGCAGGTCTCAGAACTCCAACAGGCCGGGAAACAAGTCATGCTTGTGACCAGTGGTGCGGTGGCATTCGGCAAGCAACGCCTTCGGCACGAAGTGATCCTGTCACAGAGCATGAGGGAAACACTCATACCAAACCAAGAAAGAGTAAGTCATTAAACCCCAATTTATCCTCTTGTAAACATATGTATTTGTCAACCATTCGAAAATATCAATTTCGTGAAATTTCTCCGAAGGTTTGTTTGTTTGTAGTTGTACTGTTATGGTCTGGAACATCATGAACAGTCACTTGTCCTACTCCTTTTCCGATACAAACTGTATCTTGCCACGGTTTTCCCTGTGTTACTGTTAAAGGGAATGTACAACATTTGCTTTTGCTGCAATTGTCAGAAATAAATGGATTTGGAGGATTAGTATATTATAGCAAGTATTGTTAAACTGACTTGCTTCAGGTTTTGGGTTCGGAGATGCTGGAAAATCCAAGAAAATCAACCATATTCTTGTAGTCAGGTTCCCTGACCCCACTTAAGATGAAACAGAACAATTTATAGACTTTAGGGAATTGTAAGATCAAAGAATCAGTATAGCAGGCTTGTACTCCTTGACATGTGTGTAATCAATTGCAAAGAAAATGCAGAATAACTATGAAAACTTCAGAGCACTTTTTGATAAAAGCCACTTTCCTCCAACGCTGGTCGGCCAACCATCGTTGGAAAAATACAAGTTTTCTTGAAAATGTCAGCACACCAGGAACCACGACTTTACAGGATGCTTTTGACTGTCATGCCTTAACAATCCTGTAAAAGATGTTGTGATAATTTGATCATTTAGTTTTTTGATGTTTGCAAATGTTGTATCTTCCCTAAGTTCCCTTTAATATTGTCAGTCAGTACTTTTGAAAGTGTGTAGTACAATGTAGCTTTTTTGGATATAAATTTTGATTACATTAATTTACAAATGCTTTTTATTTTGGTTTTTAACATGGTTGATAAATATTGAAATAGATTAAATTGAAGGGACTTTGTAAGGGGTTACTTTGGGGTTACTTTGGGGTTTTGTTTCTGTGTAAGGGACCTAAATTGAGTCATTTGTTGATCCTCCTCTCCCCCCCCCTGAAAAAAATAAAAAAGTGCAAACAAAAACAACCAAAATCAACAAACACCACCTGCCCCCCCCCCCCCCCAAAAAAAAGCTCAGTAAAAAACACACATATACATGTACCGGTATGATTGAGAAATGTGCCCGAACAATAAAAGCGAAATTACATGTAAGAACATGCACAATTTCTTGAGACTTCACAATATATACATATTCCTGCATTTTTTGTGTCAAAGATTTAGGAAAAACAGAGAAGCATTCTTTTTAGCCTCCTGGTACACATCATTTTGTCTGTGACTCCAAATAACCAAGTAGTAGTCTTCAAATCTGTCGAATAACAAATTAAGTAAAAATGTTTAACTCATTGTTTCATCAGTTCTTGCCCATTTGGAGTTAAATACTGCACAACTACATGTGTGCATCTTCCTCTAGCTGTAGTAAAGACATAATTCCTTAATATTGATCTTTGATGGATTATGGATAACATGTCTTTTAGGTGAACGGCCGCTCCGTTATTTCTCATATTTGTCCATTTGGAGTTAAATACTGCACAACTATGTTGTGTGCATTTTCCTCTAGCTGTATTAAAGGCATAATTCTATAGTATTGATCTTTGATGGATTATGAATAACATTTCTTGTAGGTGAACGGCCGCTCCGTTATTTCTCATATCTGAGTGGTTCTTTGATTGCCCCTGAGGCATGTGGTTGCATTAAGTGCACAGTTGGCAGACCTGTGCCATAATATTGCATTGCATCCGAGGGGAAAATTGTGAAAACCACAGCAGTTGTGCTGCTGTGAATGACATTTTATTTCAAATACATGCAACTATCAGCTCTTAAACATGACTTTGGTCTGCAAAAAGGTGCTTTAAAATATAATTTAAATTTGTATGCATTTTTCCCTTAACTTCTCAAAAAATTATTTGGGAACGTGCTTAAATACATACTTTAATTAATGTTTGTATTTAATTTGACTAGTAAAACCAAAAGGATAAAAGTACAGAAAACAATTTTAAAAATGCTCAGATGTGGACGATGGCTTTCTTTTCAAAGATCTTATTGAAATACAATGTACAAAAATGCACATGGCTATGTACACGAATGTGTATTTTTGTTGACTTCTTGAATTTTATCTTTTAAGTGCGTGTGGAAGAGGTGAAGTTTTGTTTCACAGCATAGATTTTATTTCAAAATGAACAAGCAATTACAGTATGCGTAATGTACATTGACATCTATACATGTGTTGAATTTGTACGTTTTTGAAGGCAAGAAGACATTGTAAATTAAATTCACACAGTGTATAGATTTCCACTGTAATCTGAAACTGTGCATCCATTCAGGCAGCTTGGCCAGAAATCTCAAGAGCCTTCCTACCGTACATTGACTGAATAAGAAAGACTTAAATGAAAACAGATGGGATGTGTATGTGTTCGTGTGCAGCTAAAATGGATCGTGGAATAGTGAAATTCGTTGAGTGGCCGTCGTGCATGCTTGACAAAAAAACAAAAACAGTAGGCCTACATGGCAGGAATTTTGTTTCTATTCTGACAGGTGGTTGGGGAAATAGGGGATGGGAGATGAGGAGTTGGGATTGGGATTGGGAGAAAGGAGTATGAGAGGTGAAGGAAGGTTTAGGAAGGTTTGGGCTTAGAAGCTAATACTTTCTGTACATTTATAGCAAATTTTTGTGTTGTTCTGTATGATAAATCTGCCCCCTAATTATTGACCATGTCTTCAATGTAATTTGAACTCCAATACTAGGACTTGGTTTCAAACACCCCAAAGTGTACACGTGTACATTGTACAATCGATAATTAATTATTGCAAGTTCATTACATGCATGTGTGCCGCCGTTCGTCTGAAATTATTCATTATGTGAAGGGAACAGGTCAGACTTGCAGAGTGGAACAATTGATTTGATTGATTTTCAATGAAATCGCTGCAACTTTCCAAGCGTATCTGTACACTGACATAGGTACTTAGTCGTTTCTATTTATAATGAAACAGTTAAGAAGGCTGAGAAAAATACAGTTAACTAAGGACGAAACAAGTACACAATTTTATTGGACATACCGGTATAATAGGGAAATGCCTATTTTTTGTTGCCAGTTAGGGATTGAAGTTTTCATACCTTAACCCACCTCACTCCTCCAAAATCCTCCTGGCGGTTTTGGAGGATTCTAGAGGATTGAGGATGAATGGTGATTGAATCAAATGAGGATTCTGGAGGATTGAGGATGAGTGGTGATTGAAGCACCAGAGGATTCTGGAGGATTGAGGATGAATGGTGATTGAAGCTTATAAGGATTTTGGAGGATTGAGGATGAATGGTGATTGAAGCTCATAAGGATTTTGGAGGATTGAGGATGAATGGTGATTGAAGCACAAGAGGATTTTGGAGGATTGAGGATGAATGCATTTTGAGGCAGTCGACTGTCTGATGATTTTGAAGGATTTGGCGTTGGTTATCCTTCATTTAAACCCGAGTGCAAAATTTTGGGATGAGGAGGATTTTGGAGGATTGACGATGAATGCATTTTGAGGCAGGACTGTCTGACAATTTTGAAAAATTTAGGCGGAGTTGCAAAATTTTGGAGGATTTTGGAGGATTGAGGATGGTTCTTAGCAAAAAGGGCCTAGGGGGTTAGGGATAATTATAATTAACATTAATATAAAATACATTGCAGGAATCCCAGTCACTAACTGCGAAAAATGTGCCATGGTTTATTGCAAAGTTAGCCCACACAATTGTATTTTAGGAGATTCACACCCATTGCAACTTCTTGTACAGGTACAGGTACATGTATGTACACTGTTTATTCATTGATTACAGCATTTACATGTAGTTTATTGTCAGATTGTGGCTAAGTGTTCACACCTCAAGTTTGTTTATGAGCATGTAATCTCACTCTCTCACTTTGCTCACAATAAACCAAATGATTACAGTTAACATACATGTATTTGCATAAGGTCATAACTTGACAGATATGTTTCAAGTTGAAATGTTATCTTAATACTACTTTTTTTTTGGCTAGGGAATTTTACTTTTTTGGTTCTTTTTCTCACATCTCTCTACATAATAAAGTAAAATTTACAGTATGTAGTAGTTCTTAATTCAATAAAAGTATAATGTTTAATTTGTATTTGGGGATGTTTATAGAATCACATTTGTTACAGGGCTCTACTCCTGTTCCATTTGCCATGTTCGTTCATAATTATGCGTGAGACATTGTAAGATGACTTTGTGGAAATGGGAAAGTGAAAATAAACATAAGGAACATAGTACCTGTACCAATATTAATTATTATATAACACCCAAGTAAATCCTTGTCATTTGGTTGGAGGATTGTAAAGTCATGCGGCATTCATTAATCGAACCATTGCATGGCCTACGTCATAACCGTGCATTTTTGGTTCCATTCACCGTGCATTTTCGTCCCATCCCTCTTGATCTATTGCACGCACGCTAAGATGCACAGCGGCCCGGCGCGTTCTTTAGGCTACCATATCATGCGTTATAGCGGTACAAAACTTGCCTTTGAAGTTGATGCAGTTGCCTTGATGATTTTTTTGCATTGTATTAAGAACTTACAATGTTACATTTCAATAGTGTCAATGATTTGACTTTTAAACCTTTCAAGCTGAAAAAAAATAGTGGATATGATACAATTTTGTGAGTTTTGTTGGTTCTTAAAGTTTTATCCTCTAATCGAATGACAAAGATCTACTTGGGTGTTATATAAAACAATGAATGTTTTGCATTCGTGCAATGGTGAGAATATTTTCATTTGTTAAAAGATTGAATGTTCCATTCACTTTCAACTCATGAAAATATTCTCACCATTGCACTCATAAACATTCATTTTTTTGTATACTAATTCACGTGTAGGCCTGTGGTTTGTGAATTGCAGTGAATTGGAAGTAAAATCAGTGATTCTCCCCCATATGGTGGAGTTAAATGGAATTTTAAAAAGTGAGGGAACATATGAAAGACAAGCTTATTGAGTGTGGGTAAAACAAAATGTATAAATAAATACAAATAAATAAATTAAAACAATCCCACCCCTGTACATAAAGTACTGATGTACATGTACACATCTATGTACACATACGTGAACATTATGTACATGTACTTGTGCAGTTTTTTACTTCTTTTTTTCACGCCGCCAAAAATCACCAGCCTAAAAACAGCATAATGTTCAGAAACACCTTGCCACCTGTCATCAGGGGTTTGAGGTCATTTGAGGTCATAGCAGGATTCAGCTCCCATATGGTGTAGTACAGTCTGCTGTGTCAGCAGCAAGTGTACTGTATGTCTTGTGTTATGTTGTATTGCATCATCCTCAGTCTACACATGGCTAGACATCTGAAATCCCTTGTGTCAAATATGATAGTTCGCTTAACTGGATACCCTACCTACCCTATTTTGACAGCCCCTAGTACCCTAATTTTTGTTGGGAAAAATATACCATGGAGCTATATTTAGCTCCATGACTATACACACAGGCACCTATGTCTATGTACATGCATGTGATCAACACAGAAAAAATGCCCCCGCCCCTAAAAAAATCCCGACCTACCAGTTTTGTGACCTTTTCGTGCCATCGGCCGTTACAGGTGCTTTTTTTGTTTTTGCGCATGTATCGCCCCGGATATTGTGCCTTACTGTGCATAATCATCGAGTTTTGAAAAGCGCCCCCAGCGACAGATGGTAGCAGCCCCCCCCCCCCACTGTTTGATTTTATGGAGGCCAAAAAACATGTGTCCACAATTTTGTTTTTTGGTAATAAATATTTTCTTTTAGCTGTCTTTTTATTGAACATTGTAAATGCCATGTAATTCAGCATTTTGCTGCAAAACGATTTTTTTTATGAATTAAACCAACCAAACCAACCAATTTAGCACAGATGTGGAAGTGCCCTTTTCAAGAAATGTTTAACACCCCTCCCCCCCAAAAAAGCAAAAAATAAATGACCTTATGCCACTGATAAGGAGTCAATCTGTTCGGTTCTGTAGGCTAATGAAAAGGTCGCGCTGAATCCGCTGATGAAGGTTAATAGATTTGGTTCATTAATCGGGTGGTTGGTTATCCTTCATTGACTGTTCATTTAATTCAACATTATCAAAAGTGTGGTAAAATGTAAGGTGCATAATTATACAAAATTTAACCTCTTTGGTTTTGAATTCGAAATTGAAGCATATGGTGAGAGGAAAAACATATGTTGACCACATTTGCATTAAATGCACCTGGCCATGAATCTGTGGCTTAAGCTATAGCTTTGCTACACATGCCCAATGAATTTACTCCATATGTACCGGTAATTATTATTTCACCTTCTGTAATACATGCACGTACATTGCACTTAAGTTCTGTGTACCATTATGCGTGTGCTGAGAATCACCCAGCAATTAATCTCAGCCAGCTTTTTAGGCATTAAGAACTTTTCCAGTTGAACAGATGCATGAATACTGTATTACATCTCTGTGTAATTCAAATTATTATTAGAAATTTCATAATTCACCAATGTACATGTACATATACAAGTGCCCATTACATCATAAATCATGTGTACATGTACATGAGAAGCGTTATTTTCATACTTTTTTTTTTCAGTATTTGAAAGAAAATGCTCTCAGCTTTAATCTGACACCCAAGAGACAAAAATCCATTGATCGCTTTTTTGTTAAAAGGCAAATGGTTTAGGGTATCTTTGTACTGACTTGGCCTCAAACAGTTTGGCGTACATGTACATGTGCATATGTAGGCAAAGCTGGTGCATTTTAAGCATAATCTGCACAATGACTTTGTTCATATTGTTACTGACATAATGGAGCGATACCCATAATTTCCTGTCTTTCTCGTTTGGCTGCAGGGCAACTTCTTATTGGATTCGCGAGCGTGTGCTGCAGCAGGCCAGAGTGGGCTCATGTCACTGTATGAGGCCATGTTCTCCCAGTATGGGCTCACTACTGCTCAGGTAAAACCAAACATGCTGTGTGCTTTAATATACCTCAGAGGCTGAGATAACATTTCAACATCGAACATTTTTCTGTTATTTTTCCTTTGTTGTCCATTTGCTCAAGTTAAACTCAACTTGTCATAAACAGCTTGTGAAATGCTGCATTCTGTTAGCACAGTGTTTTTAACAATTATGAAATAAAACTTTAAATAAAGACTTTCTGTTGGCTCACTTCAGCTCAGTGCATACAAACCTCTGAGGGTAAAATAAAAAAAAAAACGGTCCAACATCAAACACGTTTCTAGTATTTTTCCATATTTGTCCATATTTTCATCATAATCATATATTACCGTAATCAACTTGTGAAATATTAAGTCTGTTTGACTCAGTTTTTCAACATTCGGAAAAAAAGGAATTCCCCATGAAGTTAATTCAAGGCCATAGACGGGACATTTTAATTTTAAGCATTTGCCATATTTTGAGATTTGAAGGTTTGCATGGTTTAAACAAATTTGTAGCCTACTGTTAGTTCGCTATGTAGCTCAAACTTGGGTATGTACAACACTCTGTCATATAGAGATACGTATGTAATAAGCCAACGAAGCAGGTCGATTATGTCAAAAAAAAATTCCTTTATTTTCTTTTTCATGAATACGTTGGCTTTCCCAGGTGCTGGTAACCAAGCCCGATTTCTACCACGATTATTCCCGGAACAACTTGAGGGGGACTCTGAACGAGCTGCTAAGGATGAACATCATTCCAATCCTGAATGCCAATGACGTGGTAGCGCCCCCGCCTGAACCAGACAAGGATCTGCAAGGGGTGAGACGCTGACAAATATCAAAGAGTACTTAGGTTGTCAAAAGACTACCCCCGCATTTGATTACTTCCCCGTGCTTACTTGTGCAAGCCCGACTGCGTTCGATTTGACTTTCACATGAATTTTTACGCTTACTCGAGCCTGGCCCAAGTAACCGACTGGCGAGCCGGTTACTTGGGTAAGTATCCCACAATACAATGCGACAACGTGGTGGCTAAGTTTGACGCTGTGGCGACGGGGATTCAAAAGTGTCTCAGCTTCACTTCACACTTGTACTAAATGACGGGAGGAAAGTCAAGTTAATTTTGCATATACCCAGCATTTCTTGTACACGATGAGTCAAAAAGGGCAAAACCCAAATGTCAGGACTATTGTTTTAGTGAAGTTCTGCATGTACAATGTAGCCCTTTCAAAATCTAGGATACGAAAGCCCAATTCATAGGCTTCTTTTAGTACAAGAATCATTCAAATCACTCATGTACTTTTCAAGTTACGGATTTTAAACCGTTTAAACCACTGTTTTAAAGTTCTGTCCACAGATCACAAGAAGGTAAGTGTTCTTTCAGCAAAGACGAAAACAAATCACATAGGGATGTGTGTGAATTGTTTTCATTTTGCTGAAAAAAACGCACACATTTTTTGTGATCCGTGGACAGAACTTTAAAACGATGGTTGTGTTCAAAATTCTGTAACTTCAAAAGTACATGAGTGATTTGAATGATTCTGGTACTAAAAGAAAGCTTATGAATTGGGCTTTCATATCCTAGATTTTCAAAGTGCTACATGCAGAACTTCACCAAAACAGTAGTCCCAACATTTGGGTTTCGCTTTTTTTGACTCACCCTGTATTTGGCAGAGCATGTACAATGGCCAACATGACTCGCTTTCAACGGCTTAAAGCCATTTGCAAAGGGGATTTAATAGGCACATGACCTCTTGACCTGGTCCAGTTGACTCCAATTTCGAAAATGATGTTTAAATGATGATCTTTGCTCAACAAATTGGTTTAAGTGGTCAGAAATTGTCTCAGATCGCACCACGGAGCGTCTGGAATCCAACATTTTTTTGGACCCTTAAGCAGGCCCCTAACCCCAAGCCGTTAGCGCTTCGCGTTCGCATGATTTCTGATCAAGGTATGTCCCACCAATTTTGAGAAGTGATTGACGCCTTTGGTAATTACCACACTGTGATATTTCAAGCTCATAATATAGAGGTTTGAATATTTAGTTCATCAGTCTCAAAGTGCTGCTGAGCTTTTCTCAATTTTCAACAAGGGCACTTTGCGACTTTCCATTCGACTTCAAATCCGAATCATTCTTCTACATTCCCACACATCAGGTCATCAGCATCAAAGACAATGATAGCCTGGCAGCCAGATTGGCCGCGGAGATGAACGCAGACCTGCTGCTGCTGCTGTCGGATGTGAGTGGCATCTTCACGACCCCGCCCGACCAGGAGGGATCCAGGCTATTGGACACTGTCTACCCGGGCGATACCGCCAACATCGTGTTTGGGGGATCTCCAGAGTGGGCCTGGGCGGAATGGAATCAAAGGTACATGATTAAAACTTTAATACAGATAGACCCCGAAACCTGAAACATGCATTGAAACCGTATACACATCTTACCTTTTTCGTGAAACTCCTACTTTTTGTCCCACAAGTCCGAAAAATGAAATCTCATTGACTATTTTTCATAACAGTGTTACACACTTTATGTAAATCACACAAGGGCTTGGGTGCAGGAGTACTGCAATTGTACTTCCAAGAGCTTAGTTGAGGATGGAGCACAAGTGTTGTAAGTATACAGACCATGCCAAATGAGGCTTATGATGCTGTGGACGTGGTTGAGTATCAATAAATCTACTCCTGAAAGCCTGAAAAGGCCTCCATTTATCCATATTTTGTCATCCAAAGCCGTACTTTTGTCCTGTATATTTGTTTCATTTTGATCCTACTCTTCTCTTACTTTTTCACCTGTGTCTGCTTGAAAGCCTGGTATTAGTCTATTTTATGTTATGGAGAAACTGAATCCTGTCAAACAAGGCCAGCTTTTTGCCATGGCAGTGTAAAAAAAGTCATGGGCTTGAGCTGCTTATGCTGGTTGGTTGGTGGGTTGGTTGGTTGGTTGGTGAACAGTTTACTGGGGGTGTATTATGCTGTTCCATGCCACGCATGTATCACAGCTTTGCCAGTGAGTTTCTATGGAATACCTACATCTTTGTGACACTGATGCGCATGCGTCTAATTTGCATATTAGATCACGCCTCATTGCATTGCAAAATTTGCGGTAGTACTGTTCGTGGAACCGCCGTGGGTTGTACCACTTGGGACTTGTTTTCATTTGATTTGCATGTTGCAGGATATGAAATTGCGGGCTGTAGATAGTGAAGCTAGAGACAAATTCTGGGTTCCATAAACCACTTGTGTTTGAGATTTTTGATTTTCTTTTTGGCTGTTATCTAATCAGGTTAAAGCAGCTAACTGGGCCCTGGAGCGAGGCATTGCAGTGGTCATAGCCAACGGCATGAGTGAGGGCCAGGTCATCTTGGATGTGGTCAAGGGGCGAAAGGTCGGCACCTTCTTCAGCGAGACCAAGCCCTCGGGCCCCTCACCGGACCTGCAGGCTGCGAAAGCACGAGACGGCGGAAGGCTGCTGCAGTCACTTACCCCAGAACAGGTCTGTCTAGCATATTCCGCTAACAGCTTAACTCCTACCCTCGCAGATCCCTCAAAATCCACCAGAACGATTTGGAGGATTTTGCAGGATTTCGGAAGGTAGAGCCACTGTTAAAGATGTGTTCCCCGTGCTATTTTCGAGTTTCACCTCGAAAAATAGATACGTTTTTTTACCAATTGCTATTTTCTAGCTAGCAAAATTAAAGTTATTCACTTTTGAATGAGACATAGAACATTAAAATCCAGTGACGTTTAGTTATTGAATTATTTCTTCACGTATGTGACTTATACAATAATTCGGCTCTTGCAGGCTGGAGTATTTGTGCAGAAAATGAAAAACCTATTTTAGAGGGTTGCAGACGACCGAAATTGGAGTAAAGTATTTTTTTTTAGTCAAAACAAAACATACAAATTGAAAATTCTTAGGAGAAAAAATTTCCATTTTTTGGAGAGCATGAGGTATGCATTTTTAATTTCAGTGGGGCTTGATGATGCCCCTTTATTTTTAGGACCACAAAAGTGTGATTGTTTTTTTTTCTACACAGTGTAAGATTTCTGGAGGGTTCACATGTATACATGCATTTTATGCTCCTATAGGTCTCTCTCAAAGAGGGCCCCCTCTGTAGGAGAACTTTTTACTGCGTATTTTACGCAATGAAGCACGGATTGAAAATGTTCCAAACGTGCCCTTGGTGCTCGAAATGTGTTTGAAATACGACGCAGCCGATGCGCGTGATGCAAGTTGACACTCAAAATGCCAATGCACGTGGCTTGTCTGTAGGAAGTGACATCGAGAGAGACCTATAATGGCGTGTTAACAGTTTGACAAAATGCAGTCTCTGTACGAATGGAGAACAAAGTGCCATACTTTGATGACAAAATTTCAACGAATTGGTGTGTGTGTGTGGGCTCTTGTATTGTATTACGTTCGAGGACAGACAAAAGGAGCACAAAGGAGCCTTTGACCCTCGGACGACGGTGCCTATTGTTAAAACCGGTCCTCGATCGTACGGTTTTGTGCTTAGTCTATGGGAAAGTGTATATTAGAGGGACAAAGGAAAACACAATAGATTGTCCTCAGGCGTATAGTAAAAAAAGACTGGGGGAGTGTGTGGGAGCACAGGTTTAATTTAAATTGTAGCTATGAACAGTATTTGTTTGGAAATATGGTGTTTTGCAGAGATCAGACATCATCAAGAAACTTGCCGACTTGTTGGTGGAGAGATCTGATGAGATTATCGCTGCAAATAAACAGGACATGGACATGGCCAGAATGAGTAAGTAAGGTAGATTGATAGACTGACAGAAAACGAGTAAGATGTTACAGATCAGCACCCAGACAACCTGGCACATTTTCAAATGGGACATGTGCTTGGCACGAATGAGTCAGCTGATTGTACACTATGTTGGGTGCCCGGCAAAAAGGCATATGAGCGTTCCAACGCAAAAATCATTTTCAAGAAAATTGCATTGAAAGATTCCATTGTTCCCCTGCGCGCATTTTGAATCAAATCTTTAAATTTCATTAAAATGGATGCAGTTTTCTGCATATGCCCTTTTGCTGGGAACGTTTTGGTCATTACGCGCTATTGCATAAGGGCTTATGCACATATGCCCTTCTGCTGGGCACACGACGACTATACAATTGCATACAAAAAAAGCCCTTTTACAGTTATAAAATACTTAGTGCAGAACACTCCAGCGCCCCATATCGATCGCCGCACACAACTTTGAACTGCCGCACTCTTTGTGCAACTTTTACAAGCGCAGCACGCAGTTGCAGATTGCAATTTCAAATATCCGAATATTCGATCAAATGCAGTTTTGAGTAATCGAGTACTATATTTCTTTATTCGAAAGTGGACAGCCCTAGCGTGTGAAAAAAAAATTCACAAACTTGTCCAATTGTGAATCAATCTCAAGATATGCTGCTTAAAGCTACAGTCCATCATTTGTAGCCTGCCAAAAAGTAACTGACGTAATTATTGTTGAAAAGCATACTTGTTTTAAAGATGATAATGGGACTAAAATCCCTGTTAAATTATTCTTTCTGGCAAGCTGTTGTTTTGAAGAAAACAATAAAAAAAGGCCTTTCCAACGATGTGTCTAAGACACAACGTTGGAAATTTCCGTTATTAGTTTGTTTGTAATTCGGCGAAGCGCGCGCAACTGTTGACACGACGCACACGCGTGTGCGCCCTCTATAATTCGTCGGTTCAGTACGCGACATCGCTTAGCTGCAATCGGCTCAGTGAGAATGTGTCCCGGACGCTGAATTCGGGAGCAATTTAAAACATGACTCAGCAACTTTTGATATGAAATCAAGATCCTAGAATATTGTTTTCTCGAAATATACAGCATTCACTGAGCTGAAACTTCATCGGGTTAGTTGTTAAGCATCCTTCTTTACATTTTCAGCACTTTTGTTGCTTCAAACGAACATAATGCACAAATTACAAATGATGGGCCTTATCTTTAATGGAGCAGATGACTTCACCACTCAACAACTGAGTGCTTATAAAATCAAAAAGGCAAAGGGAATTATCCAATTTTAACTTCACATCTCCCTGGTGCAAAACTCTGTCATATAAGTTTAACGTCATCGTCTCTCAGGTCAGATGTCTGGTCCCATGCTGGCCCGCCTGTCCCTGACTGCTCCCAAGATACGCAGCCTGGCCGACGGACTGAAACAGATCGCCGAGACGTCGCACAACAATGTCGGCCGGGAGCTGAAGCAAACCATGATGGCTGACGGCATGATTCTGCGACAGATCACCGTGCCCATCGGGGTGCTCATGGTCATCTTTGAATCTCGTCCCGACTGTCTACCCCAGGTTGGTGGAACAATCTTCCATAGATGCAACCACTTTCTCATTGTTAGTCTGCCTGTTGTACAGATACTATTTCACACCTTTGACTGACAAAGAGGTGGCTAAAGTTCAATTAAGAGAATTACAGCATATTTGAAAAAGAGAACTTACATTAGATGTTTTGAAACTTTTGTCTGTACTGCGATGACACGAACATGCATGGTCCGATAAATCTTTGACTCAAGAACACGCCACATAAAATCATTGTGAATGTAGTTGGGTCCATCCGGCAAAAACATAAGTCCAGTTGTTGGCGCATTTCCAAAATATTGGAGACTGTTCAACTTATATTAATTCAACAAATAGTCAATGCAAGAGTTAAAACGACTGTAGAGTACCAAAAAAAAAAATATTGGAAATCACACGCTATGAGTGACGTACCCAGTAGAAAATTTATCATTGATTTACACCCCCGTAATTTTCTACAAACCATCCAAACATGTCAAAGTGCGAGTCGGAAATGTGACCAATTTTTTTCCCTCAGATTTGATCGGAAAAACATTTGTGTTTCAAGACGATAACATTTTACTTTTCAAAATACACTGCGTCGGGAAAAATAGTATAGGAAATCAATCCAAAAGAGAGTTTTAATTTGAAGCAATCCGAAGCTGGGAAAATTTGGCACTAGGAAAACGACTGTGGTAGCATATACATTTGCCAAGCAATAGTTTTTTGCTTAATAGCTCTTTGAAACTGCCCCACTAATTGTTATTGCAGGTGGCAGCGTTGGCCATCAGCAGCGCTAATGGCTTGGTGCTGAAGGGAGGCAAAGAGGCTACCTTGACTAATGAGTACTTGCAGGGTCTGGTCACAGAGGCATTGGAGATGTATGGAGCCAAAGATGCCGTAGCATTGGTGCGTTATTCCAGTTATGTTGAGAATTAATTAATTTATTCTATTTGTTTCACATTAGTGAAATGTTGTGCAGCGTAAAATGTTGTGCAACTTACGTAATAAATTTTGGCGCAAGCAGAGTTGCGCCATTGCATAAGGTTTCGTGTAATCGGCTGCAGGTGTTTTGCTTTTGTACTCTACACAAAAATGGGGCATCTCGCGTATGTGTGTATACTTTTCCGTTTGAACCTCAAAATTCCTACAAAATGTCGGAGCCGACACGAAATCCCTGCTCTAAGTCTGTACTGCACGCCTGTTTCGTCCCTCAGATCAACACCCGTGAGCAGGTGAGCGACCTCCTCAAGATGGAAGGTCTGGTGGATCTGGTCATTCCCCGGGGCTCCAAGGACATGGTGCAGAAGATACAACAGGAGAGCCAGGGCATCCCAGTCCTTGGTCACAGTGAGGGCATCTGCCATGTCTTCATTGACAAAGAGGTGGACCCAGAGATGGCCATCAAGTTAGGTAGGCTGGAAAAAAAAATATATAAACACATCTATGGGGTCCTGTGGTCCAATGGTTACGGTGTGCGACTCATTTGCCATGGTGCATGGTTCTTGGTAGGTTATTCTCCTAAATACTCCGCGTGGGAGTTTATACAGGAGGCCAGAAACGCCCGGGCAAACCCCTTCTCTTAGCGATAAGTGTCACTAGGGTATTTTACATGCATTGCATTACACAACACACTGGACCTACGGCTTTACGTCCCATCCGAAGGACGAAGCAATATTGGTTAAGTGCCTTGCTTAAGGGCACACGTGTCCACCCGGCGGGCTCAAACCCACGCCACTGTTGCCTCTGAAACACCAGAGCATGCGCATGAGGCCGGTGCTCTTATCCGCTAGGCCATGACACTCCACATGGGTTCGAATCCTGACGGGGAACACAGTGCTTGTGCTCTTGAGCAAGGCACTTTACCGTTATTGCTTCGTCCTTCGGATGGGACGTAAAGCCGTAGGCCCCTTCAGTTGTGTAATGCACGTTAAAGAACCCAGTAACACTTATCGCTAAGAGAAGGGTTTTCTCCAGTGTTTCTGGCAGTGGCTGCAATATGCGCCTCAGCACCTTCCTAATGGGTTTCATATTTCTCATAAACTTCATTTACCTGTCTTTAAAAAAATAGACATATTTTCCAGCGCCTTGAGTACCTAATTTTTGGTAGATACGTGCGCTATATAAGACTCCGGTATTGTTATTATAATTACCCCCTCCAAAAAAAAATGTCATCATATTATGGTGAATTTGTCCATGTAAGATGTAAGGGAAGCAATCACTCTGATTTACATATTGGTGCAACTGTACAGGGTGGTCCCCCCAAAAAACCCTGAATGGCATACATCCGCTACCCTGAGACTCAAACCACATACACCAATGCATGGAGAATTTTGTCCCGATGAATTACTAAACCACGCCCGGGAATTTGACTTACATTGTAATTAACAGAGGGATTGTTATGTGATAATACCCACATGAAAGAAGTGTGCTTCACAAAATAGGCTCTGCAGCAAAAACTACTGGACCGAATCGGGAGATCTTGATATCTTAATTCTTCTAAACAGATTCTCCATCAATTGGTACAGGTGGTTTGAGTCTCAAGGTGGTAGACATTTTACATGTTATGCTGATATAGACCATTTGTGACTTCCCTGTCCACAGTGCGCGACTCCAAGTGTGACTACCCAGCCGCCTGTAACGCCATGGAAACACTCCTTATTCACAGCGAATTGAGGCACAATGCTCTCTTTGACGATCTGCTGGACATGCTTCGGTCGGAAAATGTAAGTTTTGACTGTCTTCAATCACAGACGTAACATGTGTACGAAGCCACTCAAGATTACTTGTAATTTCTACACCCACTTACCACTCCATAAGAAACCACAGTTGTATTCAGTGAGCACCCACCCAGAAATGTTACAGACATATACAAAGAAGTCAGTGATCAAAATTCTCTTAGTATGGTTCTTTTGCTGAACTGGTAACTGTACATGTGCAGTAAGACAAATGCTTGACTTCAAAGCACTACGAAATCCCATTTAAACCCCGATACATTCGATGTTTGCACGAAAGGTCTTATTAAAAATTCATCAATAATAACAAATACATTGTCACCCTGAAGTACATTCATAACGATTGTCTCGCCCATCTCTCAATGCATGGTGGATTCCAATTGGACGGACATTGAAATCAGCTTACTGTGTTACCCAATCACAGGTGAGGATCTATCCCGGACCGCGCCTCTCCAAGTCCCTGAAGATTGGTCCCGCCGAGGCACGTAGCATGAAGGTGGAATACGGCGGGCTGGAGTGTGCTGTGGAAATAGTGGACGATGTGGACGAAGCAATTCAGCACATCCACAAGTATGGAAGCGCGCACACAGATGTCATTATTACAGAGAACAGTAAGTAGAAGTTTGCATGTGTCTTGTACATGCAAGTTTTCTTGGGCTTCAGTTCATTTGTTTTGGTTGACATAATGCATCCATTGTGTGAGAATATTTTTATTTTGTTATAAAGAAAGGATTTGTTTTTAAACCAGTACTGAATATAAATAAAATTTTTGGGTTTTCATATGCTTTCCTTTTTTAACGATTCAGAAATGAAGTGCAGACAAATATTAAAAGAGAAAAACAGTTTTTTTTCACCATGGCTGTATTTTGCTCTTTTTCTCTCCCTTTTTTTAACTTCAAAGGCCTCTACTTGATTCTAGTACTAGTAGTAAATTGCTTCTAAATCTCCTGTAAAATATAGGCACCCTTAAAAGAAACATGCAGTGGAAATTCAGCTCATCTTGTTTTTATGTACATTACTATGTGTTGCAACAATACATACAAGATCTTAATACTTGTTTTCATTGAAAGTGATAAGAAAGTGGTACTTTTTCCATTATTAGCAAATCCTTTCATCAATACATGCAAGAGGGCGCTATTTTGCTTTTGTCACACAAGGTACTCCTTGTCAAAAGTGCATATGAACAGTACAAAAATTGGTCCTTTAAAATTACCTACAAAAGAAGGTTTTGAAGAAATATTGGTTGCTACTATTGTTCGAACAAGCTGTTTAACATGTTAAACAAGTAAAAAGTGGAACTTCCTCCAAGAAAATGAAGAAAAGTTTGATATATATTTGTACACAAAGCTATGGAGACACTACTCTTCTGCCTTGAATGACATCACGCCTTAGCTCATGAATATGGAAATTTCATTAGCATAAAAGCTAAAATGTTGAAATTGTTCCCTTTTACTGCTACAAAGGAGGTGGAAAGTCATAGTTACACGGCAAGAAAGCTGTTTTAAATGCATTTAAGTCATAACAAAAACTCAGAAAAATCCATTTCATGGAACCTTAAAGTTGTATATTTCATGCATTGTTTTTCAAGAAGATTTTGTCGACATTTTTTGACATTTATTAATACTACCTTGGTATATTTCACAGCGCAAACCGCCCAGAAGTTTATGATGGGAGTCGACAGTGCCTGCGTTTTCCGTAATGCTAGCACAAGATTTGCAGATGGTTACAGATTTGGATTAGGTAAGGAACAGCTTAAGCTTGAGTACAAATTAGGTTGCCTTTATTTGGTGGAGTAAAAAAACGATTATTTTTAGGACTGAGTTGATATATATTGGCCTACTGTTGAAAATGGTTAAACAGCACCCACTAACTAGCCTGTCAGCCCAAGCTTACTTTTATTTCTAGTTAAACCAGTGCTCTTTAGGAATTAAACTCTGTTTTATATAGAAATGCATTTTGACAAACCAAGCCGCACATGCAGTCAGTAACCGTATTTTATCATGTTGATGGGGAAAAAAGAATTAGTTCAACTATAGGGTGAAAAAAAAAAAAAATTCATTCCAAATGGCATGACCGATTTTTGAATGAAGTTTTGCCTTAAGCACTTTCAGAATCTACGATATGAAAGCCCAGTCAATAATAAGCTTTCTTTTAGTACAAGAATCATTCGAATCACTCATGTACTTTTCAAGTTACAGCATTCACTCATGTACTTTTCAAGTTACAGCATTTTGAACACAAAGTCGGTTTTATAATTCATTCCACGGATCACAAACAAGGTACCTGTTCTTTCAGCAAAGCGAAAACAATTCACATGCATCCCTATGAGAATTGTTTTTGTTTTGCTGAAAGAACACTTAATTTTTTGTGATCCGTGGAATGAACTTTACAACGGTGTTTGTGTTCAAAATGCCTAACTTGAAAAGTACATGAGTGATCTGAATGATTCTTGTACTAAAAGAAAGCTTAATGACTGGGCTTTCATATCCTAGATTCCAAAAGTGCTCCAGGCAAAACTTCATTCAAAAATTGGTCCTGCCATTTGGGATGCGTATTTTTTTCACTCACCGTGTATTAACATTAATGCTATACCATTGCAAATATAGGAGCTGAAGTGGGTATCAGTACGACACGCATCCATGCCCGTGGGCCGGTGGGAGTCGAGGGCCTTCTCACCACCAAATGGATTCTGGAAGGCTCTGGAGATGCTGTACAGGAGTACGCAGAAGGGGGTCCAAAGACATACCGACACGAGTCTCTGCCCATCAGCAGCTGATGAATGCTCTCGCCGGTGTGCAGCTGGTAAAAAAACAAAACATGTAGCCAAAGCTGAAACAGTATTGCTGGTATTCTTATTGTTTTGGGATTTTTTTCTGGGGGTGCTTTTTAGATTTTATGAGATTTCATTTGGGAGTTGGTTGGTAAAAGATGCAAAGCTACCTCTCAAGCTGAAGATGAAGGATTGTATTTTGCGTCGTGGACTTACTTCCATGTCCGAGTCCAATATGCAAATCTTGGAAATTTTAAGCATACCTTTTTTGTCCATATACTTTAATTGCTACCTATAATCAAAAGCCCACATGCTTGGACTGTGTTCGGAGTTCCTGAGCTGGGCTGTACATGCCATTGTTATGACACAGACAGCTATCGTAGAAGGCAAATTACAACTACGTATTCAATGTCATGAGGTACGTATGCGCGCGCAGTGTGCAAAATGTTCTTAACTTGTGTACATGTTGCTCGAAATGTCTTAGAAATACGGCACAGCCGATAAGTGTCATGAAGATTTGACTCCCAAAATGCCGATGCAAAATGCCAATCTGTAGGCAGTGACTTCAATTCATTTGAGAAGGTTCTATACAAACTTGCACTCATGTAGGAGTTTTTCTTCCTTTTTTTCACACATAAAAAGGTTTAAGTATTTTGCCACCCCCAAGAAGAACTACACCTTGCCAAAAAACTGTTGAGAGGGGAAAGTCCACCACAGTACGTAACTGAGTGTATGATAGCAACATGCTCGATAATGAACTGTTACTCACCGTGTAGTCCAGTCCATTACAAGTTGCTCACAAGTCATTGACTCCCCAGTCAAGTCTCAAGCTATTCAAATCATATAATACCCTGTGAAATTGAAATGTTTTTTGGTTGAAAATGCAGTTGTGAATTGACTGTCATGACCGTGCGGACTTGTGACGTACTTGTGCTTGACTTGTGATGGACAATGATAGACTCTGATGGACACTATTAGTTATCCCACGAGCGCGAGTGGAACACGGAATAATGTAGTGCATCTTGTGTCCCACATCAGTAGTGTATCCAGCTTTTGATGTCGGGGGGGGGGGGGGGGGGGGGGGGGGGGGGGGGGGGGGGGGGGGGTCAACCGCACATCCGTGCTGAAATGTAGACATTTTTTTTTTCCCCGGACACTTGGTCTTCCTAAAATCAAAAGTGGGGGGTCTGGTCAAAACTGACCATTATTATGCATACTGGAAAATATATGCCGATTTTTATGTAATGTGCTGAAAATGTTGACATATTTTTTTCTCCGGACACTTGGTCTCCGTAAAATCAAAGGGGGGGGGGTGGGCTGGTCAAAACTGACCATTATTATGCATACTGCAAAATATATGCCGATTTTTATGGCACATTGTAATGTTTTTTAGCTTGTTTTATTGGTTTGAGGTGAGGTTTGAAATCTGTTACCATTCATGGAAATCCTAACTGAAAAAAAATATCTTTCAAAAAAAAATCAGCCGGGGGGGGGGGAAGTTGCCCTCCTGCCCCCCCCTTCTGGATACGCCACTGTCCCACATACCATGGACACAGACGCACTACATTTTACATGTTCCACCAGCGCCAGCTTGATGACGAATTTATCTTCAAGCAAACTTGATGCACAGTAAAAGTTAGAACTAGCTTTACATAAACTTTGGGGCAGTGTTATGTTGCGCATGCAGCTGGAATGTTGCTCGCTTCTTCAAAAGCGCAATATGCAGGGTGCGATATGGACCGTGCGATACAGTATAATATCACATTGTTGTTGACATGGGTCAACCAATGAGCATCGAGGTTTCAAGTTTGCTTGAAGATAATGATTGATATGGTTTTCCCCTTCTTTTTTTTTTAGAAGTGCACAAATAGTCCAAAGTTTAGTACGCTTCCCATTTGTGATGTACATGTACACGAAGTTTAGGCTAGTACAAATGTCTGTCATGTGTTACAGCTTATTTATTATTATGAATATTATGTTTATTATTATTTTAATTTTTTTGGTGAAGACAAAGTGTTTGTACAGTCCTTAAATGCTGGAAAATAACACATGGTCAGTTTTTATTGTTGTGCTTGACAATGAAATAGTAAAAAAATGCATTAAAGAAAACCAATATTTTATGTAGTTTTTAGAGCATGTAATGTGTATATTTTACTACTGCTACAGGGTATGAACAAAGTTGAGAAAGCTTCATATACTTGCAGTCTTGAAATATCTGCAAGGATTCAGTGGGTCTGTACTAAGTTTAAAGGGTAACAATTTTTTTCTTTATCACATGTGCTAGTAGGAGGTGATCATGGAAGCTTGATGAATCCCCACTTTAGAAGTACAAATTGCAATCACGTATTCCTGATCTGTGTCAGTGTCTGTGTCATTTTGGTTAGGTTCACTTTAAGTTCAGTCATCAATCTCAACCAAACCTGAAAGGTGGTCTGTGGAAAGAAGGCCGACGTAAAAAAAAAAATCCTTTCCAATATGGATATTTACGAGTTCTCTGGAGAGCTCAGCTCAGTGTTAGTAATGACTTTCTCAGTGTGGGCTTTTCCATACTAAAAGGGTACAAATAGTGTGACATTGGATTGGCAAATGAAGCAGGATAATAATATAAAGTTATTTGTCCTGTTTTTCACTTGAACATTCCAACCCCATGGTTAAAGATTGTGCTTTCAAAGAATGTAAGACTCTCTTGGCAAATTTGACGAGATATTTATGCTCACAGTGCTACGTAGGTAACATGAAGAGAAAGTTTGCCAGGGGAAATGTTAACGGTCACAGAGATATTTTACAAAAAATGTTCATATTTTTTTGTTTCTGAAGCTGTGTCTGTTCATCATGCTGTGAAGATGTAATGCTCTAATTAAAACATCTCTTAATAAAAAAAAGTGATATTGTAAATGTAATTCTTGAAGTTGGGTGGTTTCGCTTGTGTAACTACATGTAGTCACGTTTGCTTGTGTATGGGGTCCGTGAGGGAACAGAGAGGGTGCTTTTTAACCACCTTTTAGAGCCACGTGGACTGGACATAACGCGTGCGCGCGTGTACTGTACTGGTTCCCTTGCGTATTAACGCGAAGTCAACACAACAATTGACCTATTGCTGTTTGCGAGTTGATGATGATGTGTCAGTCGTATGTGGCACTTTGAGCGGCACTATTTTCAGGCTTAAGTTCCCGGGAAAAACAGGGCCAGTCGTCTTCCTTGTTTTGGGTGAGAATTTCTCGAAAAGTCAATGGTCAACCGGGCCACCAAATTGCAACTGAGAAAATGAAAGATGACATGTTAATCTTCATTTTCTGTGCAGCTTACTGAATACCTGTGCCGAGTTCTGAGTATTTTTGATTTAAAAAAATTTGAAGAATGGGCATTTTGGCACTGGTGTCCATGGGAATTAATGGGTGCATCCAAAATTGTATAAAAGCCGCATCAATCCGGGTAGGCCCTATGGTAATTTGGTACGCCGATGAAGGCTGCAGGCCGTGCCGGCTTGTAGGCGCCTGTGTGAGCAGACTTCAAGTTGATCATTTCCCCCTTTTTGAAAATTTTTGCCCAACTGCTGAAAAAGAGTCAGTGTCTACAGGCGAGGCCAAAAAAAGGGAACTCACTGTTACGTCAGATAATTATGTATACTGTGTGACCAAATGGTTTTTCGGTAAATCTTTTTGTACTATAAACTAAAGGTTGCAGGCCAGTAAATCGGTCCAAAATCGCCTACGCCGGCCGGCCGAGAGCGCCAAATCACGATTTGCATGCCCTCGTTACTTGAGCATATTGTGGGCCATGAACTTGAGGGTTGGTAAAAAAATATGGGTGGAAGCCGTGCACAGGACTGTGAGCTTGTAGTTCTGTGCAATTTGGATGAAATTTATTGGAGCCCTAAAAGCGCTCTATTTTGCAAGGGAGTGTAGGCGTCGGTTTTCAAAATGGCGATGGGCTTCAGCTGAACCCCCCCACCACCCCGCCAAAATTCAAAATAGCCTACATAATAATAGTGTTCATTGTTGCGTAACGATAAGTATGTTTAGCGCACGTGTAGGCCTACTACTAGCGAGGCTGCCGTATACAATGTCCAAACAAATGAAAACAGTTGACTCATTACTGCCGACTTCAATTCTGTTCGTCCATGAAGCCAAACAGATGCACACAGCAATGTTCCAGGTTTCTCCGCCTATTATTAAGACATATTGTTTTTGAAGAGAATTCTAAGGAAGCCTGGTGGCCAAGTGGTTAGATCCGTCGTCCACGAATCGCGGAGCCGGGTTCGAATCCCGTCGGTGTCTTTTTGCTTTTCAACGCACGCATTCAGTCATTATAAGATGTTTAATTTCCCATCGTAAATCACCAACGGTACCTTAGCTTAATCGGTAAGCACTGCGGCTGGTACTGTCCGCGAGTTCCAGGTTGGCGCCTTCGTACAGGTTCAGGGCATGTGGTCCACTCGGAGGATCAGGGCTTAGGGGCCGCCCTGTTCCTCCCTTAGCTCTTTGCTTTACATGGTGCCTGGCCCTCCGGGGTTACATGGATGGACAGGGAAGGAAGTGTGTATTGGTCGGGGACGCCGAGACCCGAAGAGAACTAAGAACTAGGATCGGCTGGGGCATTGTTATGGCTCAGACCGATCCCTGAAAGCTTGACCAGCACATAACTTTTTGATTTTTTTTTACCCTCTATCTTTTATACTTTGGTTTAGTTTGCTATCTACAGCTGCTCGGCAGGTCTACGGGTAATATCAAAATTGAAACAAAGGTGTATGTCATAAATCAATGAATATTTCATAATTGCCTATAATCAAAACGGAGTTTCGTTTGATGAATTTGACTATCATTATATAATGACGCGATTGCCAATTGACGTAAGAAACGCCATAAATATACCGGGAAAGAATAAAGATGTACATTGTATAAATATTATTTATACATCTTTCAAATAACGTGTCTTTAATTGTGAGCATTCCAAAACAATACAGTAATTCGCAATAGTAATAGAATGGTATATGATAGCACGATCAATGCGTCTCTATTAAATTTAAAAATATATAATTAGG